TGTGTGTGTGTGTGTGTGTGTGTGTGTGTGTGTGTGTGTGTGTGTGTGTGTGTGTGTGTTCCAGCAGCACGGCCAGTGTCCCTGGCTCTGCCCTCCAAACCTCCCAGCACTGCTCCTCTGAAGAAGAGCTCCACAGTGCCCTCTAGCTCCACCGCCAGGAACTACAGTCCAACCCCACCCCGCAGGTCAGAAAGCTGGGTCATTGGTCCTCGAGGACCCCTATCCAGCATGTTTTACTTGTTTTCCTGCTCTTCAGCAGGTCTTCAGAAGATTGTTAATCACTSATTCATTCAAAGCAGGTGTGTCAAATCAGGGAAATATCTAAAAATCACCGCTTTAAATGTTGACCAACACCTCAAGAGCTTCTTTGAGCTTGATGAGGCATTTTCAAAATATAATATTGACTTAGTTTTATGTCTTTTAATATTGCCTCTGGAAGCCACTGATTCTTTGTCATTTATTTGTAAATAATAAATCAGATAACTCCTTTCCTGCATGTTTAGATGTTTCCCTGATTTGACACACAATGAATGAGTGATTAACAATCGTCTGAAGACCTGCTGAACAGCAGGGAAACAAGTAAAACATGCTGGATGGGGGTCCTTGAGGACCAGTGTTGGGAACCATGGTTTTAGATAAATCAGAGGGACAAGATCTGAGGTTCAACCTAATACCCTCCTTAAGAATTAAAGCATCTTCACTGAAGTAACTTCCAAATGATACTGATATTAGACAGTGTTGGGTTTAAAAGAGGTCCATTTTGTTTCACTTTTTTCWGACAAGATGAACACAGTTTCCATTCTACTTCATCTTGTCGTCTGTCTTTATTTTTCTGTCGTTTCATGTATTTTTTTTTTAAATTCTTTGTGTGTTTTTTTTTTCTTTCCAGCGGTGCGAGGAGTCCTTCAGGGAGTGTGAAGGATGCTCTGTATGGGAGCACAAAACCACGACCCGCGTCTGCTGCTTCAACCTGTAAGAAGATTCCAGAAAGGTCAGGAGCTTTGTTACAACAAACACCAACAAAATAAAAGCTTTATGTCTAAAAATCTTCCCACGATTGTCATGTCTAYGTTTATGTCAGAGAAATGGGCTTTAAAATCAGACCCCGTAATAAACAGATTGCTTAAAAAATAATTGAAATTACTGAGAAGAATATAATTTTTTTGTATCAATTCAAGGCCTTTAGATAACCTAGATTAGGTTCTGAGGCAAACAGTACAGGAAGTAGTGGTGCTGCTGGTGCCACAGCACCCCCTTTGTAGCARTCATCAGTTGTTTTAAACAAATAGGAGCGAAGAACACAATATATTTTCTCAGTGGAGATACAAAGCCTTGTTAGCTGTAGCACAATGTGAAAATAACACAACAGAAACTGAACCTTCACTTTTTGTTCCTGTTTTACAAGCTAGCTTTAGCTAGCTGCTACAGGAAGTGCACAAGTTTCCGAGTCAGAAAAGTCAACCTTTTAAAATCTGGGATTCCTCACAGTTCAACGTGGCTGGCCTGTGCATGAAAAGCTGTGATTGGTGCGATAATCGGCTTTTTATTTCCACTTCTGTTGTAGCTTCTGAAATCAGTCTGTAACATGTTTCTGTGACAGAGTGCATAAAGTACAGAGAAAATGTAACCTGTTAATTTAAAGTGATTATAAGGAGTTTCTCTTTTAAATCAATTTAACTGAATATTTACAGGTAATATATTTTCATAAGCAATATACATAACTTGTAAGATGCTATAATCTACCAAATCGTAAAACTTCAATAATTTTAACTGATGAAACGATATATTTGTTGGATGACCATAAATATATTATTTCATCAAGTTTAAATGATTGAAATGTAACTTTTTGCTGAGGAGCAATGATCAGAGTTTCAGTCTTACTGGAATTTAATCAGACTGTTAAAGCTGCAGTACCTCCTCCCACCCACTAGAGGTCAGGACCTCTCTGCTCCTGCTCTAAAGAAGTTTGTGTTGTTTTTTTGTGTTTAATTTTGTGTCTACTCTGAGAACTCTTTATTCTTTTTTCTTTCTGCTTCATTTCTTTTCTCTAAACTCCTAGCAGTAAGTCCAAAGAGGCTGCTGCAGGCGCAGGTAAGATGTCTGCTTTTAATCTCATTCTATAACTAGCTGATAATAACAGGAAGTTGTGACATTCTTATTGCTTGATTTAGTCAAATAGTTTCCTTCCTGTTTGTGCAGGAAGCAGGCGTGTGACACACTGCAAAGGTAGGCTTTACCCCTGACAGGAATATATATTTAATATCCAGTTGGTAGATGAATGAGCTTCTGTTTTGTCCTTCATTTCTCACATCTCACGTTACCTGTGTGTCCCCTGCCTGTCCCTCCTTTTTTTAATCCCTCCCTCGTTTTCTGTCCCACCTTTTCTCACCGACGCCCGTCTTCACCACATTTCACCGCTTCACTTAGTGACTATGCAGATCTATCTGAGCCCCCTTGCAAAAAAGACTGGGTCTTCTGAGGCCGTGGGGTCCGCGGTGCCCGCCCACAGGGGTCCCACGGATGTTTCTGGTCTTAAGAACGGAAGCAACAAGCCGGCGATGAAGAAATCAACGCCGTCCTTCACCTTAAACTTCCAGAAAAGCAGCACCGGCCCGAGCACACAGCAGGACACCCCCAGTTATAAAAGCCCCATCAAGTCGCCGAGCCAGTACTTTCAGATTTGTTACTGAAACGTCTGGATTTTGTTTTTCCACAGTTTTCCACAAAACTAATCTTTTATGACTCGTTCTTAAAATCTGAAGTGTGTCTGCACAGAAAAATGATGACGTTTTTTGTTAACATGTTCACTTAATGAAGAAGTCGTGTTTTACGTTTGTTTAGTTTGACATTAGAGGAAAGTTTTGTTGCATTTTTAGCTCCTTAAGAATAGTTTTTGTTTTCTGTCGCTCTTTGAAACCTGCGGGTGAGCATCAAGTCAAGTGGAAGACATCAGCGGGCTCATCTGGACCTGTCTCCTTGTGTCCATGTCTTYTGTGTGTTTAATCATAGGCTCCTTTTTGTTCAGGAGGAACAATAAAAACCTACAATCATAATTATTAAATGTTTTTTTTTCCTTTTTGTTCAGGAGGAACAATAAAAACCTACAATCATAATTATTAAATGTTTTTTTTTTATC